ATTTCTTTCTCTTGCCTGATTGCCCTAGCCAGAACTTCCAACACTATGTTCAAAATACATGATTTCATTATTATTTATGGCTGAGTAGTGTTCTATGGTGTGTGTGTACGTACGTGTGTGTGTGTTTTCTTTATCTAATTGTCTGCTTAAGGACACTTAGGTTGATTCCAACACTGTGCTATTGTGAATAGTGCTGTGATAAACATACAAGTACAGGTGTCATTTTTATGACACCTTGGGTAGGTACCCAGTTGTGGGATTGCCGTATTGAATGATAGTTCTATATTTAACTCTTTGAGAAATCTCCATACTGCCTCCCATAGAGGTTATACTAATTTATATTACCAGCAACAGTGTATATGCGTTCCCTTTTCTCCTCATCCTCACGAACATCTGTTGTTTTTTGACTTTTTAGTAATCGTCATTCTGATTGGTGTGAAATGCTATCCTGTTGTGGTTTTAATTTTCATTGATCTGATAATGAATGATGTTCAGCATTTTTTTATGTTTCTTGGCCGCTTGTATGTCTTCTTTTCAAAAATGTCTTTTCATTGTCTTTTGCCCACTTTTTAATGGGGTTGTTTTTTAACTTCCTTTTAATGATTTATAAGTATTTGAAATATGTGTAGGATGCTTATTCCTTTGTCATATGTGTTGCAAATTTGGTTTGCCTGTTGCCTTTTAGTCATCTTTGGAGAATTTGGGGGAAATTTTTCAATTCTTATTAATCAAATCAATCTGTTTTTTTCCTTTTTGTTCCCACCTGCCTTTTCCTATATACTTAGAATAGCTTCCTCAGCCTAAGATTAAACATTTACATTTGCTTGTATCTTCTCCTGGTGCTTGTTTGACTTTACTTTTTACAATTAACATCTGCAGTGTATTTTAGTGTAAGAAGTGAGGTCGGGGTCTTGACTTCTTTTCTCAACTAACCAGCTGATCTGGAACCTTATGATATGTAGTAGGATTATTTGCCTCTGTTATCCGCAGTCCACCTTTAAGATACACTGAATCGCAATCTATTCTGGCTTCTCATTCGTCTCTCTGTTATGCCATATAGAAAGTCGGTTTACTTGCATGCCAGTGTGATACCATGTTATTAATGTGGCTGTGAATTATAACACTACTTTTTGCCATACCACTTCTTCAAATTAGTATTCTTTTTCAAAATAATCTTGGTTATTCATAAACATTGATTCTTCCATATGGACTTTAGAATTTTTTTTTTTTCTTTTTTTTTTTTTTGAGACAGAGTCTAACTCAGTCGCCCAGGCTGGAGTGCAGTGGTGTGATCTCGGTTCACTGCAAGCTCTGCCTCCCAGGTTCACGGCATTGTCCTGCCTAAGCCTCTTGAGTAGCTGGGACTACAGACTACAGGATCCCGCCACCATGCCCGGCTACTTTTTGTATTTTTAGTAGAGGCGGAGTTTCACTGTGTTAACCAGGATGGTCTTGATCTCCTGACCTTGTGATCCACCTGCCTGGGCCTCCCAAAGTGCTGGGATTACAGGAGTGAGACACCGTGCCTGGTCTAGAATTGTTTACTCACGTTCTCTCAAATTCTTATTAGTTTTATAAAATTGGAATTATAGCAGATTTATAGATGAATAAAAAGAACTGACACCTTTATAATATTGAGTCATCTTGTTGAAGAACAAGGAATGGGCTTCAATTTATATGAATATTTTATTGTTCTTCAATAAAGCTTTAGATTTTTATTATTGGTGGGAAGGAAGATTATTCTACAGTAAAGAATTCATTTTTTTTATGCTGATCGTATACTTATGCTAACTTTGTTTCTAGGTGCTTTTTCTTTGCATCTTTCAAATTGTGTTAAAGAGGCAGTTCTTAAACAATGATTTTCACTTTGCCCCAACGGCAATGCAGATAATATATTTAAAAGCACTACAAAAACGTTCTGTCAATTTTAACCTCTTTTTATTAGGAAACATTCCCAAAGATAAATATTGTGGCCTTGACTGCAACCATTTTTTTCACTAAAAAAATGCAGTTTCACTCCGTTTTCCATCTGGCCTATTTTAAAATAGAAATAGAGAGACATATTTCAATGTGAAATCAATTCTAAATAGAGACAAGATCAAACATGTACGAAATTTCACAACTGTGAGCTGAACAGTTCAAGTCCTAGAAAATTATCCAAACTTTGCAGATATAACCATCACTCAAGAGAAACCATTGTCCACACAATTAGGCCTCAGAATCATTTAAAGTGATAGGTATGAGGAATGGAAAGAACAGAAATATTTGTTTGTGGTTTTCCTACTGTCCCACTTTTTGTGATGAATAAGCAAATATTAAATAATTTTCATTAAATACATCAACATAAAATTAAACTAGTTTTCTCTCAAATTTTAGTCCTCAAAAGAACACCCAGAGTACTTCATATTATTTTTACTCTACATTTAATATAAATTTCTTATAATTAAAATACTGACAGGGAAAATAATATATTGCCTATTTTAGACTTATTTAAATACTTTTTCTACAAACAAGCCCTTACCTGATAGTTTGGTGGACACATTGGCTTATCTCTTGCTCTAATTTAAAAGCAAAGTCACAGAAAAACTCTTTCTGCTCAATTTTCAGCTTAAATCTGGCCCAAATCAAAGGTATTATAATAATTGACTTACTGTCATCATTTGTACTGTCATTCACATTTGATGCAGTAAAATTTTGCTTTGGGTCTCAAATAGCAGCCAATGTCTATGTGCAAACATCTCTTAAATCTTTTTTTAAAAAAGTTATTCTCATGTAGTCTGAAGGAGGCATTATTTGAAGTGGAAACAGAACTTTGAGGTTATAAAAGTCAAGAATCCTAGAAAGCCTATGGCGCCAGATCCATTAAAAAAAATTTTTTATATAGTGGAAACAGTGCAGACTAAAACTAAAATGAGTGTCCTTTAATATCTACAGAATTGTACTTTTTCAGGAGTTGATAATGTTGGAGAACACTGGGAACATATGCATGCTTAATAGTGTATGTTTTGGTACAGCCTTTCTTGCAGTAATTTGCATATTCTCTGACCCAAGAATTTTAATTCTAAAATTTCTTCTAATGAAATAATCACAGAAATGTACAAAATCACATATGATGAATCAACTATGTTCACTGGAACACTGTTTATAATAATGGGAAATTGGAAATTACCCAAAAGTCGGTAATAAAATAATTGGTTCAATAAATTTCACATGATGGGAAACTCTGCAGCCATTAAAATGATGATGCAAATCTACATTTATTTAAATACAAAGAGGGTAACAATATAATGATGTCTAGTTGTTAAATCCGGTGGTCAATTCTTATATGAATTGGACAGCTCTCCTTGATATACTTCTTTGTGTGGTTTCAGGATCCCATATCCTCTGGCTTTTCTCCAGCCTCACTGGTTCCTCCTCCTCTCCCTTACTGTTGATGTGCACCCAGTCCTCTTCTCTGTCTGTACTCACTTATTTGGTGAACTCAGAAAAAAATACAGCCTTTGAGCACATGCGTGAGAACAATTCTCAGATTTATATCTCTAAACAAGCCTTCTCTCCCAAACCCCAGTTCCATTTATCTGCTGGCTACTCAGCACTGCCACTTGCATCCTTATAAACGTCTCAACAGGCTCAAAATCGAATTCCTGATCTCCCACAAACCAGCTCTACCCACAGAATTCCCTATCTCAGCTAAAGGCGACTACAGCTGTACATTATAGTTGCTCAAGACAAAAACCTTGCAGTCATCTTTGACGCCTCACTTTTTGACACACCCTACATTCACTCTGTCAGTAAAACCTGTTGGGTCTATCTTCATCTCCACTGCCACCCAGGCCCAAGCCACCATCATATCTCACCTGGATTATGGGAGTAACTCCTAAATGGGCTCCCTGTTTCAACCCTTGCACCCTAGAGTGTGTTCTCAATACAGCAGCCGTATTTTAATATGTAAGTCAGATTCTGTCACTCCTTTTATATTTCATTTAATATAAAAGCCAAAGCCCTTACGAGGCCAATTTTCCTATTGCTCTTTCCAGATAGCACAGGTCTTCATGGTATTATTTCAGCCCATCAAGTATGTGGGAAAAGGACTTTGCCCTTAGTTTGAGTTCTAGCTCCATTACTAGTGTGCCTCGAGACGTTAGTTTCCCATCTACAGAACAAGAATCATCTGTCCTGTCTACCACACAGGATTAAGGTGAAAGTGTTTTTTAATCCTAAAGGCTTCTCTAAGTACAAGGGTTATTATAATTTTCAAATATCACTTCTAAAACTTGTCTCATTTGCTTGAGAAGTTTTTGTTATGTCTAGTCCCCTGTTTATGTATGGTCAATTCAGACAATAGTTCCTTTTATGTCAGGCACTCTGAGGATATGCGAGTAGCCAGGTCATGGTCTCTCAAATAATTTGCATATATGTATATATATATTTGCATATATAGAGATAGGTATAATAGACATATATCCTGCAACAAACTGCTTTATCCCAGTTACTCAATGTGGAGGTCACTTGTATTTCAGGGTCGTCCTTGGCTATCTTGATGACCCAAGTGAGGACATTCAGGATCCAGTGAGTGACAAATTCTTCAAGGAGGTGTGGGTTTCAACAGCAGCTCGAAATGCTACAATTTATGACAAGGTGAAGTTCACATATTCCTCCCCCCTTTCTTTTCACTGAATCTCATCACAAAAAGCATATTGTTATTTCTGCATATTATCGGTACAGGGTATTCTTAATACATGTAAAAAAGCTAATACATTTCCAGGTTGTAATAAAATGCCTCTTTGTGGACCCTGAAAAACAACAGCAAAAAGCATCATGGATTTTGGTTTAGAAAAGTCTTTAGCAGCATTCTAATCTCTCCTGTGATGCAGGAATCCCATCGGCAGCATCCTTAGCACCTGGTTACCCAGCCTTTGTACATGTCTAGTGACAAAGAGAAGAGGGGCAGATGGCATCAAAAAATAAGCCACAGCTGAGTCCAGCCTAGCTCAAGTTGCTGGTATTATAACCTTGTATATAGTGACTTGACTTTCTGAGTCTCTTTTTCCTCTCCTATAAATTGGGAGGAATATTCACAAGGGTAGTTATGAGAACAAAGAATAGTCTAGTGAATGTTTTTAGCACATAGTGTATAGTAAACCGTATTCATCCTTATGATGAAGCTTGTTAATATTAATAACAAGACATGTCATTTGTTGGACAGCTCTAGTTTTAGAAAGGTGTTTTAACACCAGCTCCATTTGATGCATACCAAATGTATCGCCTGTGAAGTCTACCCTTTGGTTATAATAAAAAATGTAAAAGAGTTCAGAGTTGTGTAACACTGGAACAAGTTACTTCAAAAAGTAGCTAGTTGCCCATCAGGGAAAAATATACAAGCTGTGTTCTAGCCAAGACTAATTGACCATCTGTGAGAAGCTGGATAAGTCTGTGTTCTTCTTCGTGATTTCCAGGTACAGACGTGAACCTCTTTTAAAAAAAATTAGGGAAAATACGCAATTTTTGTCTTAGAGCTCCTTCCAGCAGAGAGACTTATTATTCTTACTGAAACATGTCTACTATCTGTATAACCTTATTTCTTTTCTTTTCTTTCTTTCTTTTTTTTTTTTCTTTAAATTGACATGGCGTCTCGCTGTGTTGCCCAGGCTGGAGTGCAGTGGCATGATCTCGGCTCACTGCAATCTCTACCTCCTGGGTTCAAGTGATTCTCCTGCCTCAGCCTCCCGAGTAGCTGGGACCACCACACTCGGCTAATTTTTGTATCATACAGGCTGGTCTTGAACTCCTGACCTCAAGTGATCCACCCGCCTTAGCCTCTCAAAGTGCCGGGATTACAGGCATGACCCAATGCTCCTGGCCCCTGTATAACCTTATTTCATCCTGAGGACTGAAGGCTGTGATCGAATAGGTCATGTGCATAGAGTCATTAAAATGTAATTTTACAAATGCAGTGCACAGCCTTATTTGAGTCCTGGATTTGGGGGAAAACATCTATAAAAGACATTTTGGGGATAACAGGATAAATTTGAATATGAAGCATAACTTAAATGACATTATATAATTAATTTTCTTAGGTGTGAGAATAGTATTGTGATTATATAGGCACATGTCCTTATTCTTAAGAAATACATGCAGAAGTATTCAGGGATGAAGTGTTATGATATCCAAAACTCATTTTCAACTGGCAAAGTAAGTGTTACATATTAACAATTGATAATGCTATGTAAAGGCACAGATATGAACCTCTTTCAAGAAAAGTTAGGGAAAATATAACACGCAATATTATTCTTAGACCAGAATCTCCAGTGAAATCCAGGGATGATGATTATAAAAAAAATTAACTTTAATGTGGGGTAACATTAGTGTAATTTCTTGCCACTAGCCATGACTTTTTTAAATGGAAGCAAATCTACTTATGTGTAGCACATAAGATAACCAACTCTTAAATCAGGTCTGTGCTGTAACATAAGACTAATAATATGCTTCATACAACAGAGGTCTTGTCTGTTGGAATAATTATTTTCCATAAAGGGCATGTGCTCGCTCTTAAACTTTTTGTTCATTTTTCTATTTATGTTCTAATCAGGTGTTCCGGTGCCTTCCCAATGATGAAGTACACAATTTAATTCAGCTGAGAGACTTTATAAACAAGCCTGTATTAGCTAAGGAAGATCCCATTCGAGCTGAGGAGGAACTGAAGAAGATCCGTGGATTTTTGGTGCAATTCCCCTTTTATTTCTTGTCTGAAGAAAGCCTACTGCCTTCTGTTGGAACCAAAGAGGCCATAGTGCCCATGGAGGTTTGGACTTAAGAGATATTCATTGGTACATCAAGGACTTCTACCCTGAAGACCACACTGCACACAGTGACTTCCTGGAGGTGTCATAGCCAAAGCCAGGCCCGATGCATTCTCGTATCCAACCCAAGGACCTTTTGGAATGACTGGGGAGGGCTGCAGTCATACTGATGTAAGGACTCTGAACGTCACCAAGGCTTCATAATTCCTTCTGCCTAACCTTGTAAAAAGGGGGCTGCATTCTTGTTGGTTGCATGTACTCCGTTGAGTATATACATATACTCATTTGAGTATGTGTTGAGTAAAACACATATTCAAATTCCATAACATATACCAAAACCCGTTTCCTTTGTAACAAGAATTTACCTATAACTGTGATCTAGATTGCCAAAAGATGTCTGAATCTCCTTATTCTTCTCTGATCTTCATTTATACAGCCAGTGTATAGCTGGACCTGCCCTCATCTTGCAGTTCATACAGGCACTGTTTGAGAAATTGTTTATTACTAGAAGTTGTAATGCTGCTTCAAGATTTTTCATGGTTACCTGGGATGCCCCTGCTCATCTGGTCCTGAAGTAGTAACATTCACCCAAATGATGACATATTCCTTATTCCTTTTCAGTCACTGTACGAACAAGGCAGACTTTAGCCTACACAGTAGACTGTGGTAGGCACTTCTGATAACATTGATACTATATCTTGACACCACGAAGCAACAGGAAGGAATAACTTCCAATATTGAGACAGAGATTTATTTCATTTTGCTCCCAAAGGCACTGACAAGATGAGTCCTTGTGATTAGGCCCACCTGATCAAATGTAAAAACATGCGTGGGATATTTGATTACATAGCAACCAGATAAAACTGAGAGCACACAGCCTTCGGAAACCCCCAAGGTGTCAAGGGGGATCAGATCCAGATAAGAGAAGATGATTCCTTCTAGTCCTGTAAAATTTCCTGTCATCCGTAGCTGCTGGGTTGATTGAAATTTGATTTCTACATTTCAAAATCAAACCAGTGAATACAATTTGTCTTCTCAAGAGAATCAGAGGCATCATAACTCCTACCAAGCTAGTATGAGTCTAACCTTGTTTGACATTCAGCTCTACTGCTACATAATCTTCTTTGAGAAAAATTAATTGATTATAAAATATGTGCTATTTCACTTGCATTATTAAATATATATTAACCCCTCTCACCAGGGCTTCCAGTGAAGTTACAATGCCGTAGTCTGTGAATTATCCTGGAAATGTGTTTTTCCTTTTTGGATGATAGAGTACCCTTTGGTAAACTAGATTTTACTAAGCAGAACAACTCTGACAGTCTGAAGAGTTAATGTGGGTTCTCATAAGGCCTGTCCCTGTAAAACAAAGTGCAGGTGTAATGATTATACGTGTCTATGGATTACCTGGACAGACTCCCGTTTGGGTTGTTCTTCAGAGAAGCAAGCAGCTGATCCCTGTTTTCATGAAGCTAATACTTCAGTTGGAAAAATTAAACAGGAGCACAAAGTCAGGGATAGGGATTAGCGGAAGAGAGAAATAGTGTCACATCAAGGAGAGGATCTCATAGCTAGGGAACATTTCACAAATAAGGTGAGATTTTGTAACCAATAATAAAAATGAATGTTTTTATAAGTAAATAACTTATTTTTCATATGGCTATAGATGGTAAAATGACTTCATTCTATAGCCATTGTAAATAAGAATTTGCTATTGATGAAAGAAGTTTAGATTGGCATTTGAAGTACTGAGTGTATAGGATCGCTAAGGATTTCTTAGATTTTATATTTAAATATTTTTTAAACCTTAGAGGAAACAACAAACTGGCTCTTGATTTTGAGCACCCTACTCTCATGAAAAATAGAAGGCTGAAAGGACCCTTTCCCTTATAAGTAATTTAATCCAATTTCTCCCCATTTTATACATGAGGAAACTGAGGCTCAGATCAGATGAGGACTCACTTAAATCCACTCAATATGTAGATGGTAGAGCTGGGACTAGCAACATTGCTGCAGCCTACTGTTGGCCTCTCTCTTCACTTTATCATTGCCCAAGAATGAAGATATGCAGTAAACAGATTTCAGGCAAGATATCTCTAAGCTGTTTTGAACCCTCTGATATTTTGTATTTATGTGTTCGTCTGTCCCCCCTACTAGAATGTAAGCTCCATGGGGCAGGGACTTCACTGTATTTTGTTCATAGTGTATACCCAGAACCTGGACCAGTGCTTGGCACATAGAAGATGTCAATAAATGCTTGTAGAATTAATAAACAAGGTGAAGGAGAGAGCTAATGAAATGAAAATCTTAGCTTCATATAAGAAGTCTTACTACTGCTTTCTATGGCAAGTTTCTTTTCTATTGCATCTTCCCAAAGGCAAGATGCTTATCTGCAAAGAGGTGATAAGATTTACTTGGAGGGATTTTATGGAAAATTCAGTGCAATATTTGCTTTTTTTTTTTTTGCAGTAGCAGTTTACATAGTACAGCATTCTGCAAAAATTTGCATGAAATGTGGACACAAGATGTACTGTATGACTTAATTACCTGTCATTCTCTGACACCATTACTACCTACTAGAAGTTCAAATAATTTATCTTTAACATTGCAATATCTGATAAACCTTTTAAAATGTGAATAATTCAAAGCCTTGAAAATCTATCATGAATCTGCTCAACATTTCAAAGTGACTATTTTGAAATGCCTATAAATGCTATATACCTGACATCCTGCTAATTTCTGTAATAATTTTTGTTTTCAAGGGGGAAAAATTCTAGTATTACAAAAAATGAATGATGGAAAGTGGCCATGGTCTATTAAAGCTATTCAGATTGGCCATGGTCAGTCAGTCATCAGAGGATAGCCTTAGCATAGCAAGTCTGGTGCAGGCGTTTGTTCTAAATCTAGTGTCCAGCTCGTGACTCACCCTTCAGTGGGATGTTTTTAATTCCCACCTGTAATGCATCACAGGGAGGCATGTAGAGCTGGTCATTAGATAATTGTGTGGCATACTGGAAAACAAAATGTTTATTTTCAAAGCACCTTTGAAAGGAAATTTCATCTATAGGTCCTCAAAATATGGACAGTTAATTTCTTATGTAAGAACTTAGGAAATTATAATATCATGAATTAATACTTTTCCAGATGAAAACAACAAGCTGAGAAGTCATTTTGCAGATGTAAGACTAGGAAAAATAGATTTTATGTATATAGAGCCTGAACTTTTTCTGCATCTCTCCTCATTTCTTATATATTTTTTCTTTTTCTTTGTTTCTTTTCTTTCCTCTCTTTCTCTCTCTTTTTTTTT